GGGTGTTATGGCAGGAGGAGGTGGATCTACAGGTGCTGGGGTGCGGTCGCCAATATGTTCACGCTCAAGTTCGAGTAGGGGATAACTCATTTGCGGTTACTTTTGTTTATGCTAGCCCAAATCCTCGCCTACGACGTTTTTTATGGGCTAAATTGAATGAGATGGCGCAGAAAATATCCGACCCGTGGATAGTCAGAGGGAATTTTAATTGTCTTCTCTGCATGTCTAAGAAGCAGGGGGGCTCGATTCGCAGCTGTAATATTAGTTTGACCTTTGCTGACTGGATCTTTGATAACGACCATCATGAAATGAGGACGGATGGTGACCAACCGACTTGTTTTCGGCCCGGATTAGCAGAAAAGTTGGATAGATAGATTGGTAATGATGCATGATTGGATATGTTTTCGGATAGTATGGTGTTTCATCTACCCCAAGTGCATTCTGATCATACTCCTCTCTTAGTTCGGGCTACTACACCGGAGCACGAGTCGGGCCTCAAACCCTTTTGATTTCTGGTTACTTGGCTCACCCATGAGGGCTTTGAGGAGATTGTCGAGAAAACGTTGTACAAAGGTGGCGTTTATGAGTCCTTGGTGTCGGAGTTTTGTTCTAAGGCCAGAATATGGAACGCCCAGATATTTGGTAACATTTTTTTATAGGAAACGAAGATTACTTGATTGTATTGGGGGGATACAACGTAAGAGTCATGATGGGGGGAATCGTTATCTCCGCCAGCTGGAGCAACAGATAACAGCTGGGCTTGACAGAGTTCTTTTGCAGGAGGAGTTGTTGTTCATCCAGAAGGTCCAGCGGGACTGGACTTTGTTTGGCGACAGGAACACCTCCTATTATCACCGGCTTCTTAAGCACATGTGGAGAGAAATAATATAATCGCTCTCAAGGATGAGGCAGGCGAGGTGATCGAGGATCTAGTGGATCTGCAGTGAATGGCCATTGAGTTCTTTAAAAGAATCTATACCGGTAGTGCGGCCAGGGCAGTGGGTTACCGTATTGAGGATAGTCGACTGCGTTTGGTGGGCCGTGAAATCTCGAACACGGAAGTGCTAATGGCTCTGAAGAAAATGGCGTCCTTAAAGGCGTCGAGGTCGATGGGCTACATGCACTGTCCTTCCAACAATAATGGCACAATGTCGGTCCTTCGGTGTGCTCCCAAATTCGTGACATTTGGCGCGACAGGGAAGTCCCGCCGTCTCTCAACTGCACTCTTCTTGTACTGATCCCGAAAGTAGATAATCCAATGTATCTGCAACAGTTCCAGCCTATCAGCCTCCTCAACGTCGTTTATAAGCTCTTCACCGAAGTGCTTGCTGAACGGATGAAACCCATTTTGCCTTTGGTTATCAACCCGACACATGCTATTTTTGTTCCGGGCAGTCATATCACTGATAATATCATCGTGGTTCAATAACTCATTCACTCAATGTGAGGTATGAAGGGGAGGCGTGGTTTTATGGTGGTAAAGGTTGACTAGGAGAAGGCCTACAAACTACCTTCGATGGGAGTTCATCCGGGAGACACTATAGCTCGTGGGGTTTCCGGGCTCTTTTGTGGAGGCTATCATGGCATGTGTGACGTCGGCCACTATGCAACTGGAGTGGAATGGGGCGGTAATGAGGCGTTTGTACCATCACATGAATTTAGACAGGGCGACTCGATGCATGTCTCCTTATCTCTTTGTTTTATGCATCGAAAGATTGGCTCAGATGATTGATGTTGTTGTGACCAGTGGGGAGTGGCGGCCAATTAGAGTGGGTAGTGGGCAGGTTTTTGTCCTTTGCTTAATGTTCGCTGATGACTTGCTTATGTTCACTGAGGCAACTTCTGCCCAGGCGGACTTCTTGAAGTTGATGCTCCAGAATTTTTGTGCTGCTTCGGGACTACATGTAAGTGTCGGAACTTCATTTGGGGGGGCACGTCTTCAGCCCGAAAGATTAGCCTTGTTTCCTGGTCTGATGTCTGTCGGCCAAAGGCAGACGACGGCTTAGGAATGAAAGGCCAACGTTTAATGAACAAGGCCTTACTTATGAAATAGATTTAGAGTTTTTGAAGGAGCCGACTTTGCTTTGGTGTAAGGTGGTTCGAGCCAAGTACTAGATGAACCCGATGGCCATGGGCGAAGATTTTGTTTTTCCCCAAGGCTCCACTGTATTAAAGTCGATTAGAGATGTGTGGAAAGAGACGTTGGTGGGGTGTCGCTGGAAGGTGGGTAATGGACGCATATTTGGTTCAGGTGGGACAGATGGTTTAACTTTGAAACCCAGTTGATTAAGCTCGCGACGGCGCCTGTGTCGGAGACAATGCTTTTGCTACGGTGAATGCGTATGTTATGCTGGATAGAGGGTGGAATTGGTTGTTGTTTCATGGGTTGTTGTCGGCCTCTTGCTTACTCAGGATTCGCTTATTCCACCGCCGAATAAATATTGTGGGAAGGATAAGCTGTTTTGGGGTCTCTCAGCGGATGGCAAACTTTCTACCAAGTCTTCTTGTTCGGCCCAAGTCTTCTTGTTCGGCCCTGTTTTGGGCGGCCATTTGGAGGTGGATGGGCCCACAACGTGTTCGTCTATTTATGTGGGTGGCGGCCCGTGAGAGCCTGCTGCCTAATGAAACCTGACATCGTCACAACATTGCCTCAAGTCCGGCGTGTTCAGTAGTCTGATTGGCGGCGAGTGAGTCGACTCTTCACGCGTTGCGCGACTTCCCGGTGGCGGCACGTACCTGGAAATTGTTGATTCCCTGAGGTACGTGGAGTACGTTCTTTACTCTTGATATTTGGGACTGGTTCGTCGAGAATCTTATTGGTGCGTTGAGAACGGTTAATGAGACTTCGGCCTCGGTATTTGGGGTCACGGCTTGGAGGTTGTGGCGATGGAGGAATCTTAAACTTTTCCAAGGGACCGATATGGTTATGTCCCGTCGTCTTGCTGAGGTTTCCTCCTTTGTGCATATGGCGAGTTGCGTGTCGTCTGGTGGTCGGAAATTGAGGCCATCGGATTGCGGAGACGCGGTGGATATCGTGGTCACAACCGACGAAAACGGTGTTGAAGGTCAACACGGGTGGGAGCTTCGATAAAAAATCTGGGATGACGAGTGTCGGTGGTGTTATCCGTGACCACCACGTTAATAGGGTCCATGGATTCATGATAAACATAGGGTAATATTGTTCGGTCATCGAGGCGGAGCTATGAGGTTTGTTTCAAGATTTAAAACTAGCTTGGGATATAGGGGCTCGTAAGTTTCATGTTGAAATCGACAATAATAGTGTAATTGAGATGGCTCAGAATGCATATTCGACCGGGCCTCATGGTGGCATTTCGGCGGGTATACGAGAGCTTTTGGGTCGGAATTGGGAAGTGGGGCTTTCTCATGGCTACCGTGAATCCAACTTTGTGACGAATTATCTAGCGTCGTTAGTGACTAATGGCCTGGGGGTCTTCAGAGGTTGGAGCGGCCTCCGCCAAGAGCAAGTATATTGTTACACCACGATAGGATTGGTGTGTCTTATTCGCAGTCAGTTCTTATTTAACCTTTGTGTAGCCTCTCTTTCTTTCTTTAGAAAAAAAAAAAGAAAAATATTAAATTTCTACAGTAAATTATATCCTGTTATCTTTATTTGATTATATTTTTTTTACAGAATTAACTATCAAGCTATGTACTAGTAAATTTCTACAGTAAAGAATATGGTTTGATTGAGACTTAATTTACACTTCAATAGTGCATTACCATATTAATTTGGCGCTCAGTCATGCAGCACCTAACATCATTAATTCTTACATCCGCGACTTATTTGTTTGAGGAGTGACGTCACAGTGTCACAGTCACCTGAAACGGCGCCGTCAAGGTCCTGAGCCCGACTATCGAAGTTGCTAATTGCTACTACATTTCGCAATTCTTTTGCAAATAAATGGATCATTTAAATTTTATATCTCCACGTCTCACATATTAATTGAATTTTGCATGCAGCTGTGTCATATCAATATATCATATTAATAAATATATTTAATTATTACATTTTAATTAACTACATTTTTTTTTTTTTTGTACAGAGACCTTCCGGTTTCCGGATCTACAGGGGAACCGACTAATTCGGAATCGAGCCGGGTAGGACCACAAGAGCGATAAAGCTCTCCATTCCCAGGTCTCGAACCGACTAATTAACTACATTTTTACATGTTTATCTCTATTATTAATGAAGAAAATGGCTGCATGCAGCAATCATTCCCCCAGCCACAAATTTCTCTCTATAAATTGGCCCTTCTTTCACTCATTATCTTCATCACTTTACAATCTTTTTTGCATTAAAACTATAATTATTCAACATATTATCCCTCAGCCTCTGTAATTTCGAATTCTATAAGGACCTGATGGCAATTACCAAAAGATTTGGGCTGCTCTACTTGTTGCTGGTGTTGAGCTTGTTCATTCAAGATTTTGCTGGTAATGATGTATTTGTTTTGGCAGAATCAATCGACAGCGGACCCTCGCACAGAAAGGTGTGTGTGTGTGTGTGTGTGTGTGTGTGTGTGTGTGTGAATTTAGTTTCTGTTTTGGATTCTTGATATATATATCTAACTCCTGATACATCATGAACAGCTGTTCTTGGAGCTGAAGAAGATGGCTCTGAGAAACAGAGCCCAAAAGCTTGGCAAAACCGAGATGACCGAGAACTGGGAACTGAGGCGGGTCCCCACAGGGCCCGACCCGTTGCACCATAACGGCCAGGACCCGAAGAAGCCTCGTACTCCGTGAAATTCGTGCCGACCCAGTTGAAAATCAAGCATGTTTATTTTTTTTATTTTTTTATTTTACGTCTTTATATTTTCATGTGTAAAATATATATATATATATGTTTGTGGGACACCTTTGATGGTGTGTTTTGTATTGCTCCTGGCAAAATCCTACATGTTGATCATCAAATATATGTAAATGCTGGGAGATTATGTATTGCTATTACTTTGTCTAAATGATTATGTAACAAATATTGCTTTGTCTAGATGAATATGTGACAAATACAAAAGATAGGACGATTAATACAACTCGTACTCGACTAGGCTAAGAATACCTTCCGAAGCACATTTGAATGTCTTAAGCTCGTTCGACAAGCATTCGAGCATCACATATATACTCTCAGCATCGTCATGTGATTTATCCCCGGCCATAAACCAATGAATAATTCCATCAACCTCAACCGAACTAATCCCGGGCCTTTTTTGAAGCCCAACGGCCTTCATTTTCCTCCTCACGCCACTTGCACCTAGCCACCTCCCCCTGGCGGCATAAATATTCGACATCAGCACGTAATTAGAATCCCCACTAGGGTCCAAATAAAAAATAAATTCCATCAGCCGCTCGGCCAAGCCAAGGTCTTCACAATCTCTGCAAGCAGCCAAAAGTGACCCAATAATGACCTCGTTAGGCTTCATGGGCATTTTATCGACCACGTGAAGCGCCTCCTTCAATCTCCCTCCACGGCTGTATAAATCCACCAAGCACCCATAGTGCTCGATTCTTGGTGTGATTTTGTAAATTTTTTCCATGGACTCGAATAACTGTAGCCCGACTTCCACCAAACCCGAATGGCTGCACGCGTTGAGCGCCCCAGTAAAGCTAACACTGTCAGGGGCGAATCCATCCTTTTGCAACAAACGGAAATAATTCAAAGCCTCGTCTGCATGGCCGTTGTACGCCAAACCCACTATGATCGAGTTCCAAGAAACTAAGCTCCGTTCAGACATTTTCTCAATCACCTGACGAGCGAATTCCACACGTCCGCATCGGCAGTACAAATCGATCAACGCATTCTGGACCCGAATGTTGTCACTAATGGATTCACAAGCCAGCAAGAACCGATGGGCCCAAAGGCCCAAACCGAGCGAGCCCAAATTAGCAATAGCCGAAAGCACGGATACAATGGTCACGAAATCCGGAGGCACTCCCGACAGCTGCATCTCTTTAAACCAACCCAATGCCTCCTCAAACTTTTTCTTTTTAACAAGTCCATCAATCAACACGGTCCAAGAAACTCGGTCTCTTTCGGGCATTTTGTCGAACATCTCGACTGCCTCATCAAACTCGTCGTTCCTCATGTATCCATTGATTAATGTATTCCACGAGACTCTGTTCTTGGCCTTCATGCGATCGAAGCCCAATCGGGCCGAGCCCATCTGGTTGAATTTGGAGTACATGTCGACCACGGCCGTCCCGACCATCACGTTGGTGGCGTCCAACCCGATTTTGCAGGCGTAGCAATGGACGGAGAGCCCGAGCGAGAGGCCCCGGGCCGGGAAGCGGGCGCAGCCCGAGAGGAGGGTGACGAGGGTTATGTGGTTCGGTTCACACCCGGATGTGCGCATGCGGGTGAATTGGAGAATGGCTTGAGATAAATCGCCGTTTTTGCAGTGGCGGGCGATGGATGAGGTCCATGAGGCGGTGGTGGGGTCGGGAGGGGAGTTTGGGGCGCTGCTATTTTGGGAGGGTTTGAAGGATAAACGGCGGCGGTGGCGGGAAGGGGGATCTTGCGGCGGTGGAGAAAGGTGTTTGGTGGTGATTGGGGCGGCGGGAAGGCTCATTTGTTCTGGAGTATGGTTGGGAGTCGTTGGCAATGCGCGAGTTTATTGTCCTATCGGTGTTAACTGTAAGCAAGCAACTTTGAATACTTTCATATTAATTTTTGGGTTAATTGTCAGAAAAATACTAACATTTTCTTTAATTGCACGTAAAACTCAACATTTTTAATTTTACACCAAAATACAAACTTTTTATAAGTATTACAAAATCGTCTCAAAGTTGACTTCTTGCCAAGGTGTGCTGACATGGTCGATCAGAAAAGTGACGTGGTCGATCGGAAAGTGACGTCACCCTCCACGTCACGCACCACCAATGTATTAAAAAAAATTCCTTTCTTTTTTCCACAAAGGAATAAAACACCAACTTCAAAAAAATTCAAAAATGTTTCTACTCCAAATCAATAGTAATATAAAGAGGTTGTTAGAAAAATACAAAATTAGTATGTTTGACT